CTAGGTAACATCATCAGTATGATTATGATGTTACCTAGTCAGGTAATGAAACGTCTGCAAGCAAACAACCAAGCTCAGAGAGCACCAAGGACTCCACAGGTCAGCCCTGAGCTACATATATTCTCTTTTATTTATATGCATATTTCTATCCTATGTTTGATTTTGGAAGAACTTTAACTTATGTGATTTCTTCTGTCCATTATCTTTTTATTGTATTTCTAGGCAATAAATCTCCTTCCAGCAAATACTCAAATTAGTGAGATCCGAATATTCTTGGAAAAAGTCCTTGAAGAAAATGCCCAAAAGAAACGATTCAATCAGATACTTAAAAAGCTTCTCCATGCTGAATTCTTACGAGTATGTGTCAAGTGTTTTTTTCTCATCTACGATTATCAAAAGGAAAGTTAAAACTTAGTACAGGGTGTATATCAATGAGTGTTATTCCAGAGATGTGGCAAAGAAATCCTCAAATCCCCATACTAGTTAAAAGACCATATCTGTTTTTCCCTCAGATGATTTCGAAGGAATTATTCTTTTCTAAAATTATTCTTATTTTGCCAAAGGTTCAGGAAGAACGGATTTTACATCAGCAGGTGAAATGTATAATCACAGAAGAAAAAGTTTGCGGTGTATGTAAAAAGAAGATTGGAAATAGGTATGAGAAATAGATATCTTAGGGAACTAGTAGAAATTGCTTCCCAATCTGTTTTTGCAGAGTTTGTCCAGTTCTGACAGTGCAGTCCTTCCTTGGTTACTCACACGTAATTCTCAGTGAATGCTGCGAGATTGGCTTCCTTGTATGTAGTTTCATAACTGTTCTTGTAAAACAGCAGTCTTTCTCACTTGGAAGCAGTGCAGGATATAAGCCTTTTAAATTTAATTATATATGAAATATGTGATTCAGGTGAGGGAAGTTAATGGCCTTAGATTTGGTATTCTTTTTAAAATGAAGTTGACCCTTTAATTTTGAAATAAAATTTACTTAAATGACTCTTTTCAAGGTCTTATGCCTGCACATCTCTAATATTTCTTATTTTATATCAGAGACATGCCTCAAATATGTTCAGATTTACAGCCCAGTCAAAAATGGATGCTTATTCCAAAGAATTATGTGTAGATTACTGCGTTAAAATGTTCCTGTATGAGTCAGTTACTTAATAAGTAGTACAGCTACTTTAACTAACTTTATGTCCTCTGATTAGTCCACATTCTTTTCTGATATTTATTTAGTAAAAGCTAAAGGTTCCTTCAGATCAATCTCAGCTCCTGGTAACTCCTGTACATGTTCATATAGGAATTTTGGGGCAACACTATGGAACTTGCTGTTGGTTTCTGGGATGTTTTTTTCAACTTCCTAGCCTAGTCTGTAGTGCAGGATTTCCTCATGGTCTCCCATCTAAATACTAACCAGGTACAACCTTATTTAACTTCAAAGCCCAGACAGGATAAGCGAGATGCTGTGACCTGTTTAGGCTATTGCTATGTAACTTTTAGTATTTTTACTTTCAAAAAATGTTCTAGCTTCACCACAGTATTCTTTATTTTTGGGGTGTTTGTCCTTGGTTGAGTTTTGCCTTCCTCCTGTGTCCTATATGGGCTTCTATTTTCACCTTGTGTTCAGTTTTTTAATCTGATTGTCCAGTTAGAAATCCCTCTTCTGTCCTTCCATCTTCTCTTATACAGTCCAGTTTCACAACATTCTAGCTTCCCACCTTTTTTAAAGTGCATAGTTTCATGAAGTTGGCAGTATCTATATGGGATCCTAGCTATCTTGCAAATAGCTTTGTAGTTTAAAACAGTACTGTAATCTGAGTGCTATCAATACTAGATAAAGCTTTTATTTGCAACAAAAGAAGGAAAGCACTTACATAGCGCTTTACGTAAACACAAAGGGACAAAGACATTAGAGTAAAGCATTAAGAACTTCAGCATAACAAGATATCATTGCATACAGTATATAGCCTTGGAAAAAGATTGATTTATGTAAGAGGTATCTATCCTTTGATCTAAAAATAGCAAAACAAAACAGTGCTTACTTACTATTTTGTATAAGTTCTACTTATAAGGAGGATAGAAATAATTAACATAAAGTATATTTAAACTGATAAATTGTCTTTTTTTTCTGCTTGTAGTGCCTTTGCCCGGTTTCCTAATGCCGTTGTTGTGCATTATTTCTGCTCCAAAGATGTTGGCTCTATGGACACCTGAAAGCATTGCCACGCATTACAGGGACTGCGTAGTCATGATGTTCATATGGAAGGAGAAAGAACATTTGATAAGCGGTTGATTTCTCTAAAGAACCTTCCCAGGCATGTTGCTTGCAAACAGCTTGAGCCCTCCATTGCTTCACTGGATGACTTGTAATTTGCCCAGTGTGGACTGAGTAAAAAAAAAAAGATTTAAACTATAGTTAGATACACTTAGCAGCAGGTTAACCTCATAGCGCTTCAGCTTGAGGAAGAATGCAAACTAAATATTAGTGGGTTACTGTTATACTCCAGAATTGTAGGAATTCCTACTCAAAGAAAACTGATGCTGAAAACTAATAAGAGAAGCAAATTGCATTTTGGGTAAAATTCACCATTCAGATCCAAGGTGAGAAAAAAATCTTATATTTTATCAGTGTTGTATTGAAATCTACTTTAATCGGCCATTTGGAGGCAGGTACTACCAAAAAGGCTGTACTTAGATTTTCTTTCCTTCTAACAGTGAAAATAACTAGGTACTGATAAGAAAACTTTGTATCTGAAGAGGTTATCAGCAGTAATAGTTCCAAAGGAACTAATCTCATACAATATGATCAGAATTGGTATTTTTTAGTTCAATTTTTTGAAAATACAAATGGGCTTACGATTTGCACTGTGTTTAGTCACTACCATTATGAGTGTAATGAAAATGGCAACCATTTTTTGAAGGAAAACTAGCACTTGCACTTTTACAAAAAAGAGAAAAAAGTAATCTCTTAAGACTTTAAAGAGGGCATGTTTTCATATTGCTGGAACATCTGATCTCTGTTTAAAGACAGCATTTTACTGAAATGTTTAAGCCTTTTGTGCATTCCCCCCTTCAGGTAGAGCAGACACTTGTTTAATTGTCAGTATTTTGAGTTTCCTATACCCGTTCAGATTGGTGCTCTTTGGTTGCTTGAGGTACCTAAATCACGTTTTTATATTGGAAGAAACTAGTTTGCAAAATACATAATCGTATGATGTCGTATTCTTGTCTGACACTCTCTTCTTTAAGGCTTTGTTGTGAAGGAGATAAGGTTATAAGCATCCACATAAAAATAAACCCAGGAGCATTGGGGAATTACCTCAGCTTAGTTCAATGTTGTTATTTTACTTTATTGTATTTTGTAAATTTGATAATGCAACTTGAAGCATATGATCCATTTACTGATCTGGCCTAAAATGTAAAGATGGCCCAAGAAAAGTTGGTTAATTTTTTTTTTAAATAATGTTTGAATTTCAATTATAATATATGTTAGGGTTACAAGGGGACAAGGATCGGTTTAGTACATAATACACTGCAAAAACAGCTTGGTGTTTTGTAATTTTTGTTTTCCTGATAACCTTTATTCTATTTCCAGTGGAATCTATTCTGGGGGCGTATGTCTTTCTGATATGTGCAATAAATTGCATATTACTGCAGGTTTTAGGATTCATTCATTAGTGAGATTGAGTACTTTTTTGGGGGTGGGGGTGGGGGGGTGGAACAAAGTAATTCTCTTCTTCACATGGAAGAAATACAGTGCTGTAGGATTTTGTGCATTTATTCAAGAACCTTTATAAAGTAGGGCAGATAACTGCCATTGGAGATTAAATGAGATATGTAATGGATAATGGACAGTTACTGCAAAACAAATTATGAACTCTGCTGATCGTTCTGACACACTGTAAGATGTGTTTGCTGCCAAGAAAGTAGTGAGCCACTGAGGCTTCTGGTAGATATTTTGTTTTTCCTTCACAGCAAAGTTTTTATGTGCCTTGGTTCAGCTTTCTGTATCTTTGGAGGAGATGTTGCTTGTGTTGTCAGTGCCTGCTGATAATCTTGTATAAGAATCTGGGACTCACCAACTGTACAGCGGGCTTATCTAAAGCAATAAAGTATAACATTTTGAGAAATTGGCATTGCTACCTGTTTTTCCCTGAATAAAAGTATTTCCTCTTTGAAATGTGTGTATGAATACTGTCCAACATTTTAGTGTGAGATGAATGGTGCTGACAGTACAATTCTAAAAGGAGGCATTGGTTCGGGACTATACCCTCTCCTTGTTTAGTGACTGCATTCCATTCCAACAACTTGGTTGTTAAACTAATGGTTGCTAAGTGAACATGTGACAGAGAGAGAGAGAGACACGCTGCAAAGATCACTGGGCGCCGCATCTCATTCAGATAAAGTTCTCTTGTACTCTGTCCTGTACCTGACACTTTTTCCCCCTTTTTTTGCCCACTTGGTTGTTAAACTAATGGTTGCTAAGTGAACATGTGACAGAGAGAGAGAGAGACACGCTGCAAAGATCACTGGGCGCCGCATCTCATTCAGATAAAGTTCTCTTGTACTCTGTCCTGTACCTGACACTTTTTCCCCCTTTTTTTGCCCCCTGGCAGGGTGGAGAGGTTGCTTAAATAAGCTATCTCTTCCTGAGCTGCTTTTCTCCACAGCACAGCACTTCCCTAAAAAGTGCTAATGCAAGTTAACAAGTTCAGCTCTGTGGCCTTAGTTGATTAGAACCCTAGGCTGCCTGAAACTGACAGGCCTTCACTTTCACATTGAAGGTTTTTGTTGTCAGGCACATGAAATTTGGTTGGGTACGTTGGTTGGAAAATGATTTTTTACTACCGTCATATTTGCGAATGGTCGCTAACCAAGGTTGCTATATGAGAGGCTGTACCACATTTTTTAAATTTTAAATTGTACAGGTTTAGGAAGTTCAGTTTAACTTGTTCTAGATAAAAAGATAAAATCTTATTCAAGTTGAACTCAACTGCTGTTGGTCTCATAGACATGTCTGGCCTTTTTTTCTCAGCATCAGTATAGAAGTGGGTTGCTGCTACCATCTTTTGGGATGATTTTCACCTTCTCAGTCTAACCTAAAGCCCTGGTATACTTTGAGATTACATTTAATTGAAAGCAAACTAAACATTGTTACACAGATAGACACACATGCATAAAGTTTAGGAACCAAGTAAATATTCCATGGGACCTCCCAATTATTAACCAGCCTGATCCTGCTTAGATTCTGAGCTCAGATAAGGGCAGCTATTTAGTGTGTACCATTTATATTTTTAAGCATAGCTTTATTAATTTTTTTAACAGATCTTGTTGATCTTTGAAAATATAACCTGAAGGAAACATTTCCTTTACATTTTTAAACTAGGTTTTATCTTAATATAGAAGAGCGGGAGAAAATAACGTATTCCAGTTGGTAATGATGCTATTCTAGGCAGCCTGTTGATCTAGTGGGTCCAGTAATTCGGGGGAAATGGGCTGAGACCTTCAGGCAAAATACTATGATTTCTGTTGTGTCCTGTCTAGAGCATTTAGTGTGCATAAATGTAGTAAAGATGTCATTTCTTACTGTACTGACCTTGTATTAGTTCTATAATAAAAAGTTCTATATTAAAAAAAAGAAAGGTCAGGCTCTGTTTTTAGAGACTGAGGGTACGTTGAAAGAAAGTAAAAGAGCAATCGGCCATTACGGCGCTGTTTGGAAATACAAAGTGGACCCCCTCTGTTCATACCCTGTAATGAAGTGAACAAGCTGGAGTTTCTCTTCACCTGAAAAATGAGATCTCATGTTATTAATTATTCTAGCACAGGGTCACTCTATTTTGTTTCTTTTTTCTTTTTCCACTAGAAAAAAAAGCCTCTCAGTTTCTATTTACAAATGGATTTTGAAAAACCAACTGCTAAGTCTGATTCATGTTCCCCAATCACTTCCCTATGCTTGGGATATGCTAACCAAGTGAGGTGGTATATCTGAGCACTGTGTAGCACCTCAGGTTCAGCGAAGCGGAAAAAGTGGAGTATGAGGAGTGCTGGTGTGGCACCTGTTGACGACTCCTTAAAGCAACTGCTGCCATGTAATGCTGGGAAAATATGTGCTTGGTTTAAGGAGCTGTTGACAGGTGCTCTTTTCATGCCCGCAAGTGCTCCGAAGAACATTTTTCCCTTGGAATCTGAAGCACTGCATAGCCCTATGTGTCTCATTCGCTAACTTATCTTTTCTTGCTCTTGTATTCTGGGATTCGAGGAGAATGCATGTAAACATGGCAACTGGAGAACACTAATTTCTGGCACAAATGGGAGGATCAATTCTAGGTGCAGCCCAGTTTCTAAAGTAGACACACAGCAGTTGTTATGTGACACTAACATGCTTGTGGTTCAGCTGTTCCAGTTTTTTCTCTCCAGTGGAGATTAGATGCTTCAAAAGTAGTGCCGTGGAATAAGTAGCTTCAGAATAAATGATGATGAATAACTTAATGAATCTGATAAGCAGAAGCCTAAGTTATAAATCTCTATTTTCATTGTATTCTGAAGAGGTGAATGCATCTTTGCAGTTGCTGCTCTTGCTGAAACTATTTCACAGTCAAGACAAACTATGTGGCTATGTTTATACCAAAATAACTTAGTGGCTTCAGAAGCTATAGGCACTAGTGAAGAGTATCAAAGCAAAATATTTTCATTGATTTCCTTGATGTGCCTATAAATGACTTTTTTTCTCCCAGTCTAACAGCTAGTTGAAAACTGAAGTATGTTGTGCATTATATAATAAACATATTATTGTGGTTTACAAAAGTAGTGTTAATATTTTCACATTTCACACTATTAGGTTCATACATCCCACTATGCCAAAGTGTTTTTTGTTTAGTTTTGACTGCCTTGTGTGAACTTGGCTACTGTGGTTTAGATAATGGTTTATGATTTATTGTATTATGTTAACCCAGCCACTTGTATTTTGTTTAGTAAACTAGTTGGCAAATTATGACTTAATGTGCTGTGTGAATCCAGGCACTATCGGATTATCTGATTTCTAAAATTAATTGTTCACATTGCCTAAATATAAATATGGAATATAGAGTTCTACAAGTATATGGTCAGTTATAAGCAACATTTCCATTATTTAAATGTAATGAATAATTACTAAGATAGTAATTGCTCAAGGTAAATTGTAATTTTAAGCATAATAGAAGTAGGCCAATATAAGTGAACCTGTATAAATTATTCAGTATAAATTTTAAAATGTTCTTCAGAATGCATTGACTAACTTGGAGGGTCAACTTGTTGTAACTTCAAGCAATGCCATCACTGGACTTCTCCAATGAAGTCATTGCTCCCTTAAAGGTGTTGACTCATCATATTGCAGTGAGATGGTGCAAGTATTAACATGCACTTCTATCTTTGTCACATGGGAAATTCTTGAATGAGGTAACAGCATTGCCTTTTGCATTTCTTTGTGTGTTATTTTTGCATCACTGTATATAGATTTTAGTTTTGAAGATGTATGACTGCCTCAATGGTACAAATGTTTTTACAGATATGGAGCATGGTAATATGACTTGATTTAAGGAGGCAGCAAAGCACAAAGGCCAGGTTTCAAACAAATACATTGAACAGTATTTCAATTTGTTTCATACAAATACACTGAACAGTAAGGCAAGTAGAAATGGGCTTCTGTTTGTACAAGAACAGTAAACTCTCTGTAACTTTATTTATCAGCTTCCCCATTGCATTTATAAGAAACAGGTATGTTCTTCACATTATAGTAATAGTGTAAAAATGAAATTGAATATATTTAAAAAAATTAAAGTAACCTTTGGCAGTCTCTAGATTTTTATATAAAGCCAAATTATTACTGTTATTTTAAAATATAATCTACTCCCCATCCTTGTACTGCAACCTTCTGATTAAACTTATTTCTGATGTTTTGCTTTTTGTTGACCAAATTTAATAACTAACTTATTTTATTTTGCATATTAATATATTACATATTTTATGTTTTATGGATATGCTTTATATTGCTGTTGCTAGTTTGAAATTCGTTTGATTATAGGTTTTTAAAATGTTTTGTAAGCCATCCTGAAAAAAAAATCTTAAGTAAAATAATATTTTTGAAGAGAAGAAAATGTGAAGATAAAAATATTCTGGATCTAGAATAAAAAGGCAATAAATATGTATAATTTATTAGAATGTTTCCATTTTTTAAAAACAAAACATCCACAAGTTGGCTATTACAATTTTAAAATCACGGATATAAAAAGAACAAATACCAAATAATATGGCAGATACAACTAATGGCTATAGCACCCTAATATTCCCAAGCATCCTAAAAGTATTTAAATTATTCAAATCTATTTGAGTCAGAAAAATCAGGAAAGAATGGGGCAAATTATGGAGGAGAGAAAACTATTACCTTTGGACCCTCCACTGAAAAGACCTTATCCCAGTGTTTCTCAACCTTGGCAACTTTAAGACGTGTGGACTTCCCCATATGCTGGCTGGGGAATTCTGGGAATCGAAGTCCACACGTCTTAAGTTGCCAAAGTTGAGAAACCTTGCCTTATCCTAAACAACTAATCACTGAGCGTTTGATGTCAACAGATCAGTGAAAGCCTCTGGGGAAAATCTTCCTCTCCAATTAGTTTGTTTTTTTTTTAATAGAAAATGTGTTTTATCAGATATCCTGATATTCAGATCATTTAGGGCTGTGAAGGCTTATATTGGCATTTGGGGTCCAGTCTGCATTTTTATAAGATCAGTGTTACATATTCCAAGCTATCTATGAAGTTGTAAACACTTCACAAGCAGTTTTGTTAGCGCCAGGGTCAATTTTCTCAGTTCTGACCGGGCATGATTGCTTTATCTCAATTTACTGCATAAAACATTGGGTTCACGTGCTTTAATCTAGGGACGTCTATTGGATCTCTTGTGTTTGATATAGCCAGTCTGACTTTGGAATAAAGAGTTGCTTGCCCATTCCAGACAGCTTTGTCAAGAACTACCACATAGGCGATAGCCTGCTTTTTCTACTCAAGATAGCTAAAAATAAAAATAATTGAAATCTGATGAAACGTATCTTGGGGAGCACATTCAAATAGGTATGGATAATTTACTGCATTTAAGTGGCTGAGGAAAGCTCTCTTAAATGTTATTGTGCAAAGCCACTTCTTG